GACCAAAAAACTTTTTAGAGACAATAACTGCTCGTTTGGAGAGAAAAAAAGCCATTCCCCTTCCCTTTACTGAAAGGCATCTTAAATATTCAGGCAGTGTATAGACTTAGGCTTACTAGATGACGCTCTCTACAAATGATTAACAGAGTTGAATCTCAGTAATATTCTTATGAATTAATATAGAATATATTATTAAGTAAAAGAAAAAAATGAAATTATGCTTATGGTTTTAGAAACAAATAGTGAGATTTAACAACCAGTACTGTGGTTTTATGTTAGGACACAAATCTTGAGAATTGACACGATAAGTAGTGATTCCAGGTGTGCAAATTGGTACAAAATGCTTTTGGAGATGCTTGCTTTATGCACTGTAGGAATAGAAGAGCTTTCTGGGGTTTAGATAAAAGTACAGCAGTGCTGTATGTCACTTCAAAATACTTTGATTCTGATAAGGACATGGACACTTTATTGGCAGGAATTAAAAGTGCTGTTGACCTGAACTTATTTATAGTCTTCTTTCAGTATAGCTCTAATTGTTTTAAGTGGGTTCAGTGACATAAAATCAATAAGGGGAGTACACTGAATTATGCATTCTGAATGTGAAGTTCAGGCAAACTGTCACACATAGCTCAAGACAGATGTGGATGCCTATCAGGTGATATCAGAAGTAAAGCTTTGGATTCATTTTTACTGAAACTGCTTATTTTTTTGTATAAAATGTTGCAGATGATAAGCTGTTGTAGGCAAAAAAGGAGAGCTTAAGAACTTAAAGCTATTTACTGATTTCTGTTTTTCCTTCTACCTTCTCCATAAGTATTTTCTTTATTTTTTTAAAAGAATTATTTAATCATGACTTGCTTCTTGTCTGATTCACACTCTCTGCACAGAAATGCACATAATGGTACATTTTTTTAACAGCCTCTGAAGCCTGTTGTGTTTTTTTTTTTTTTTTTTTTTTTTTTTTTTTTTTTTTTTTTTTTTTTTTTTTTTTTTTTTTTTAATACTGTAATTTTGCAAAATTGTATGTTGTACTGATTTGGATATTAAATCAAAAGCTACTTTTAAGCATGTATAATATAAATTTGCCTAAAATATCTTCCAGCTTATTTTTCAGATGAAGCCGTGTAATTTCTTTTAACTAAAAGTGGAGAAAGTTGTATTTACCAAGACCTTACAGGCAGAGAAAAGGAGTGGGAATGGCAGCAGACAGTCCATGTTTTAAAGAGTAATTTTTATTTCGGCCTTTGTTCACTTTTTAAAGTCAAAATAAGATAATGCTTCAGCTGCAGGCTTGCATGAAAAAACCCCCACTGGATATAATGAATGCCTGTCATGTCATTGGGGGGCATATGCTGTAAGACAGAGCTGGATGCGTAGTGGGGAGGCATTGTGGAAAGGGAGACGTGGGGAGCTGCCCCTGCCTGGACAGCTGTCCTCGGCAGTGGTGCAGTGGGTGTCCGCCCCAGAGGAACACGTGTTGCCAAGCAGACTCCACTGAGGAGCTGTAAGACTGACTGTGGAGCAACCCTCTGTAACTGAGCTAGGAAGGAGAGTCTCTTCCAACTGAAGCCATTCTGTGATTCTAAATAAACAGTTTGTCTAAGGCTGAGGGGCTGTGTTGTTGCTTAGATTGAAATCTACAGACTCCAGACCTTTGTCTTTATGTCTTTGTAGCTCATCTCTCTTACCTGTAACATGACAGCCCACCATCCACAGCTGTGCCCTTCTGGATTGAAGTAACGGCATTCCCTTTACACCACAGGGCAGCCAACCAAACCCACACTGAATTGAATGGTCATGAGCAATCTGTGACAGAAGTCTTCCTGCAGGATGAAGGGTGCTGTGTCTGAGCCGGGCCAGGCTAATTCCGTGTGCACCTACTTCTTCTCTCTTTTGTGGGGTGGTTATTGCTCTTGTCACTTCCTTTCTCATTCTTTGCAGAATGTTTACACGGGCAGCGTTATCTTTGCTAAGAAATGAGAAGAAAGCTTTTCACAACTGCTGAACGTGCTGTAAGCGCTGAGCTTCGGTGCTTGGCTTCTGTGCTGAACTTCAGTCTTCCCCAGAGCACCACTGTGCAGCATTGCTTCCTAACACAGCCATGCAGCAGCAGGAACAATCAGGAACAGAAGTATGGAAGAAATGCTCACTGAGGACAGCTGCAGGAGATGATAGCAGCACAGCAAAACCGGCAGCAAACAGGGAAGATTAAACGGGGGAGGGGAGGAGTGAACTGGGTGAGAGGAAAAGAACACAAAAAAAGAGAAGGAGAGGGAGTTAGTCAAGAAGAAATAAGATGAAATGGTGCAACACAAAGATGTAATGTCAGTAGGAAGAGGGTGAGGCAAGTGAGTGTAGCAAAACGGATCTCAGCACACCTAATCTCTAAGGACAGTGCTTAAATCTTTAACTTCATTGCAGCCTGAAGAGAGACCAAATATTGCAGAAGGAGGTTCATTTTGTACATAAGTTTAGTTAACTCACTCAGAACTAACTCAGCAGAAACCCCCTCAGCCATCTAGCCCCACCAACATCAGATTTAAAAAATTTTTTTATTTGTGACTTTTTTCTTGAGCTTCAGACTTCAATATACAGATAAAGCAAACCAAGTGAAACAGCTCTGAATTCTTGTAGCAAAAGTGCTGTTGCAGAGGGGGTTGCATGCTACAGAATAAGCTGCAGTGACAGACCCTACCTCCCTGTTAATGGGAGTGGGATACCTTTGGAGCAAATTTTAGGCCTCTCCCATACCGTCATAACAGATTCTCAAATAGTTTCTCATTTTTGAAGTGTATGCATTGTGTGCTTGGGATTCCTACATGGGGATAGCATTTGACCCTAAATTTTAACATCAGGAAGTTTCATCTTTCCTCCAAAGCTTCAAGTCGTGGCATGGTGCTGCAGATGCATAGTAATGGCCTGACTGCCCTTTAAAATACCTGGTCATTACTTGCTGCATCGTGCAGATGCTACTGCTGTAGAATTAGTATGTGCTCACCTGTGTGCTCCTGCTGGCTGCTAACACAGCAGGAAAAAATAAACTCACTCTTATGATGACTCGCTAGCAAAGATACAGTGACTTCAGCCTTGTGCTGTGATACAGGAGTGCTAGGGTTGCATTTCTCTACTTGTGGTAGAGTTTTCTTACTGATGCTGTAAAAAGGAGGAGCTAGCAGACCTACACCTGGTGATAGGTGTCAGGAAAGGCGATTCTGTCCTTTCATGACTCACCAGTCTTTATGCAGGCTTTATCTGAAGAGCCTGAGAGCCCCCATTCATAACCTGTTGAGATGATAGTAGAGTGTCAGACTTCCCTGTTATTGGAAATGTGCTTGGATTCATCCAGGATGCTGGAAGGGAATGGCTGTAATTACTTGACAAGCGTAACTGATTGTCATCTGAGTTCTGGTGGTCAGTGTCTCTGCAAGCCATTTCAGCTAAGTGACTGCATCGTTACAGCGCTGTCCTCCTGACCTTGGTTATCATGTGGGTGGGAGGGAGGAACAGTAGTGACCCATTAGAGCATGGATTTTAGGTTGCATTAATGGTGCTACTGTTGCTCACTGGCACTGCCCAGAATTGTCTCTTCCAGGTGACAAGACTGATGTATCACTGAGCGCTTGAACCTTGTTTTGAACAGAGGGCAGGTATTGCTCGTGTAAAGAGACGGGGGTTGCTTGTTGTGATGTTTCCCTGCAAGGGACAGAAGCTGGACAGGTAGTAATATGGGTCACATGAAAAAGTCACACATGACTGAACACAGATTTTAATTTGGGAAGTTACAATTTTCTACAAAAAAAAAAAAAAAAAAAAAAAAAAAAAAAAAGGAAAATTTCCTCCCTATTAGCCTCACGGTTTCCTCCCAGTCTGTGCCTGCTTTTGGAGACCTGCTTTCTTCCCTGCAGCCGTCCAATGGCAGGGCAAACCAGTTAATGTGAGCCATACCACCCTGTAGGAGTCTAATAATAAATTAATTGTTTCCATTATGTGGCCATTCTTCTGGGACTGTGGTGTTCAGTTGGGATAATTCAGTGCTGGAATTTTTGTTTTCCCTTTTTCACCTATTGAGCCTTTTTTTTTTTATTCCAATCGCAGACTTGTTTCTGAAAGCTTAACAGTATGTCAGATCTGTTGCACAAAGGACTGTCAGCTGCTGTTTGCTTTCTTCTGTCTTTTACTTTAATCAGGCAGGCCAGTAAATGATGTGAAAAGCATTTTTCTTTGCTCCTTCAGCTTATGCAAATCTGTTGCTTAGGAACGAAAAGGAGCTCCAGTCCCAAAAGGAACATCTTAGACTGATCCTTTTGGCAAAAAGGCTGATTTTGCTGTCCAGAGCACAGTTAAAGAGCATTCAAACAGAGAAGATCCAGCGCGTTGGTGTTCTCTGAACCACTTTAGTTATGCTGTTAAAATGTTTTCTGCTCAGTCTGAATTGATAGGTAAGCAGTTGAGCAGCCAAGGTGTTTGAAATTTAATTAAAATAGAACTAAAAGGGAATTTTTGAGGAGCATCTTGGAGGTTTAAAATAAAAATGAATATTAGAGTAATTGCTATGCTGTTCTTGGAAGAGGAAATCTGTTCCTTTTGTTAGTTCTTCCCTTTACAAGGGCCCTTTGTGACTGGAGTCTCATGGTTTAACTTGAGCAGAAACATTGCACAGAATATTGAATCAAATTTTCTTAATAGAAAAATGATTTAATTGGTTTTCTTCAAGCCAGTAGCATAGGAGAATGAGATAATGGGGCAGAAGAAACCTGAAAATGTTGTGTTGCTATAGGGATAAAACTTAAATTCTGCTGCTGTGCAAACCAATTCTATTCTTGTGGGAATGTTGTCATTAGTTTCCATGGAGTTTACTGGGGTTGGTCTCATAAACCCCAATTCAGCAGGCCATTCGATCATCTTTTTAAATATATCTCCATTTGATTTTCTTTCCTTCAATGCATGGACTGTGGAATACCTTTGTTTCTACTTTTTAAAATTATATTCTTCTCTTCTTCCTCTTTAACTGCTGTACATAAAATTTTCCTGATTTTCGTCATGGAATTCTGTCCTCTTAAGTAGGGTAAGCTTTGTTTATTCACTTATTTATTTATTTATTTATTTATTTATTTATATCTGTTTTTTAAAAGGCAGAAAAAAATCATATGGATACATATTTCAATTAATGGATTGCACAACAATTGCAGTCTTCAGTACCCATGCCAGACTTGAGACTATGTTTTAATTTAAGATTCAAAGATGCTTTTGCAGGCTTAGGAAAGAGGAGAGGCAATGTCAAAGAAAGTGCTGTTTAAAGGGCAGACGTGCTTCCCTTTTGTCTTGTTTTGAGCCTGGGAACATGTACAAGCACTTGTAGATCAAATGTATCCATTTAAAAGCAAAATGTGACCAGTGGTTTGCAAGTAGGCATAGGGCATTCCTTCCAACATCATTTTTCAGTCAAATGAAACGCTGTTCTCATCTGCAAAGTCAGAAAATATTTTAAAATTTCTGTAATCCAGCAATTTTTTGTTAATCGTTGAAACTCCACCTTAATTATCTCAGTCTTTGGCATGATCCTCCTCCATTTTTTTTAATATGAAATAATTTTTTCCACTTAAAATTTCAGCATTTGAGATCTTTTTGGATTATGTGGAGCGTACTCTTACCAAAACCAATTCCTTGAACGTCCTAAAACCCTCTGCTATCTTGGGCTGCATTCTCAAGCTAATATCTGCATGTGTTTTATTGGTGTTGGACGTAGGTTGGTTTCTAGAGCTCACATTGTACTGGGTGCAGCAGGGGCCCGTTCTGTGCAGCAGGAGGTGGGATGTGCTGCACCACATTTGCTCGCCCCACTTGTGCAACTGCACGAACACGTGGCTGAACATGTTGTGGTAACTTCTTCCACAATGGGGAAGGAGAGAGAGGCTATGCTGGAGGGGGTCAGGCTTTGCTGGTCCCAGCTCGGAGTGTGGTGCGTGGCCCCTGACTGTCAGCTGAGGCCAGGAACTGCTGATCCAGCCCTTTGGGGCTGGGGGCCCCAAACTCTCCTCTCGAGTGGCAGGAACTTGCCCCGCAGTTGTGATGGCCATACGATATGTTTTTCCTGAACTGTTTCAAGCTGTTTGAAGTATAACTATCTGCATTTTTAATGGATTCGTGCTTCATTTAAACTCTGAGTTTTCTTTGAGCATGTGGTTAAATGACTGAGAGTAAAAGCTTTGGAGAATTTCTTACTTTTGTTTTTATTTTTGTTTGGGTTTGTTGTTTCTTTTTCTGAGGTGTGTGCTCTGCTGTCACTGCCATGGGGATGTTTGTTCAGGAGCAGATGGGACATGCCTCGGTTTTCAACACTGTTTTTTGGAGTCAATGAGAAAATTGGGATGAATGATTCAAGGAAAGTTATTTCATCCACTGATTTTTTTTCATCTACCCCTACTAGCTTGCTGCAGCACTTTATGTCAGGGCAGTGAAAGGACGGGGATGAACAAAGACACTTCTTTTGCTCTCAAACTTTTAGGGACATTCTGGTAATTCAGCTGAAGTTAAGATGAAGAAAGTGCATTCCTCTATGACATTGTCTCTTTTATACTTTTATTTTTATTAGAGGTTAATGATAGAAGGAAATCACTGTCCCTGAACAGCTGAGCTGTTACCTAAATGAGATGAACCTTATCAGCCCTGAGTGGTGAGGTTAGTTGCTGCACATCCATATTGGTGTAGGGGAGAGGTATCATCCATAGCATTGACTGCTCACTCCTCAGATCTTGTATCAGCATAACCATTCTTTCATTTCCCAGGGTAGTTTAACTTTCAGGGCATCAGATGAGCATGTGGTAGGAATAGACACAGTTACGTCCATCTCTCTGGATCTTTCCAGTGTGCAGGAGTATGGCAAAAGATGTGCTGTAAGGAGCTGACAGCAAAAAACACCTGGAAATCTGTCTCCAGATTGTTCCCTGCTGCAATCCACCCTGTTTCAAGTGGGAAGGCGGCTGTCTTACCCCTCTGATGGTCATGTGAGGATAAATCCTTAAAGATTTCA